GTGTGTGTGTGTGTGTGTGTGTGTGTGTGTGTGTGTGTGTGTGTGTGTGTGTGTGTGTGTGTGTGTGTGTGTGAACATTAAAGGGACAATGAAAGGATCTGACCCGAAGGAGAGGAAAATAACATGAGTAAAAGTTGAGGAAAGTGAAGTGAGTCAGAAAACCACAAATAGAAACAAAACCAAACACATACAGCCTCCAACCGGTTAAACATAACTCACACAGTGTGAGACACACCTGCACACACAAAATCTCTCTCTCTCTTCTTGCCACCTCCCCCTATAACGCTGCTGACACACACACACACACAACCACACACACACACACAGTGCTTATCCCCGTCACTACTCCACTCGTACACACTCACAGTCAGCAATGCACCACTGTCCTCACTTGCCTGCGGCTCACTCGTTTTTTCTCTCTCTCTCTCTCTCTCTCTCTCTCTCTCTCTCTCTCTCTCTCTCTCTCACTCTCTCTCTAACACACTTGTTAGTTCCAGCACAGAGATCTGCAGCACTGTTTGCTCCGTGTCTGCTTGGAATAGGGTGAGTTTATTAGGATGGTTTTAGTAGTTTTTTTTTACCAAGGAGGTTATGTTTTCACCCCTCTCTGTTTGTTTGTCGATCGGTTGGTTTGTAAGCAAGATTACGTAAAAACAACTAAACAGATTTCTACCTAACTTGGTGGAAGGATGTGGTGCGGGTCAGGGAAGAACCCATTCAATGTTGGTGCAGATCGGGGGTACGTCCCCTGTGAATAATTCATGGATTTTGATGAAAAACAATCAGGCACATTATGGGAGCTGATATCCATGAGTGTGTGAAATTTGGTGGAGTTAGATTGAATTTAAGGAGACTGTTGGGCCTCGGCGGAGGTATACACTGCACTGAGTGCCATAGTCGTCTTGTGTGGTTGTACAGGTGTAAGTTTGGTGGGTGAGAAGTTACCTAACTTGTTTCATAGTGAAAGCATGTTTTTTTCTCTGACTCTATGGGTCTTGATTTGTGCAGAAGCGGTCACATAAGGAGGATTTATGTTCCAGTTGTCTAAGAGTTTGCGACCTCTCTCTGTATTTACGAGAAACAGCCTGTTGAGGTATAGAGATAAGCATGTGTTGTGGTTTTGATGGTCTCTCACTACATGTACGTTTGATTTCAACACAAAGTGTCTGAAAGTAATCTCACAAGTAGATTTGGCTGAATATGCCTGCTGGTCTGTGTTGTGGAGGTGTGAGAGGTGCCTCACAGACCTGTGTGGGACCCAGGGTTGTGGCTCGAGAGTCAAAGGAAGTAGAAGTTATTCTTAGGAACAGTTTTAACACTGCTGCGTGGGTCAGTTACACACCAGACCCTGCGTTACATGTTTATCACCAGGATGTGTTAGCAAGTGTACATTTACATATATGCACTAATATGCAGCCACTATACTGATAACTGGTACCAAGAAGAGAGACAGCATCTTACCTGTACTTGCATCCTTGAATTTTAATTTAAGTGTAGGGCTGGGTTTAAGGTTCCTTTATTAAAATATATGTTCTATGCACTAAATAAATATTTCTAACCCCATTCCACTCCTGATCGAGGGTGAGGTGTAAAGGTGTTCACGCGCTCGCTGTAGCTGCCCCAGTGCTTAAAAACTGTTTACAATCAAGTGCTAGCCTTCTGTCGACATGTTTAAGACTAGACTGAAGACTCTAATGTTCCCCTATAGACTTGTGAGTGTCCTTAAGTTGTTTATGTCATTTTTTATTTATCTTATGCTAGTCTATGTTGTTTTATTACTATCTTGTATTTCACATTGTGTCTTCTGTTATTTTACTGCACTTTGGTCGACTTTGGATTTGCTGTATAAATGGGCTTGACAATATTTGTGTGTAAAGACCGTTAAACGTGTAGTTTTATCATCCAGCTGAAATGAGTCAGATATATATATATAGACCTGTCCAATGCAAAAGCGAAACCCACCAAAATACATGTGAACTCAGATGTTTTTTTAAATAGCTTCTTTCTGTTTTATATTCTACCGAGACACAGTGGTGAGATAATTAACCATCATTGCTTCCTCCACATCGTCTACTATCATAAGTCAGTAGCACAGAAAGAGAGGCTGTAGAGCAACTCAATCTTTGACCTTATGCACTTCCTCTCTCTGTGTCTTCTTCCTGATGACAGCTGATAGACCCACTATGCATGTGAGACATGACCAACAAGGCCCCCTGGGATAGATCAACGTGCAGCATGGAGCCAACAGGTACATGTAACACCCACATTCACAGGCATGTGGTGACATCTCATCACATAGAATATATTGCTTCTGTCACACAAGTAAAATGCATCATAGTTTTTCACGACTTGGATCAAAGCCTTTTCTTAACCCCTTGACTTTATTTGCAGCTGGCTGCTCCCCGAAAGTTCCAGAGTCAGAGTTGTACCGCAGCATCCAGGCTGTGCTGCCCAGGGAAACAGACAATCAGCAGCCAATAGACTGTTTCAACAAAGGTACAATATCATCTCTTCTTGTATACCACATTATACACCTGCCAAGGCCCAACAGTCCTCTATGAAACCAAATTTCAATTCACTAAGTCCATTTTTATTTGGATCGGCAATAACACAAATTGCACACACACAAAATATTAGTCAGCTAAATATGCCTGGATTTTTTTTCATCAATATCCATGAATTATTGAGAAATTAAGGAACATTTTGAAAAACAATCTAACAATGTGAGAAAGAAATTCCCTGGATCCTCCCGTGATCTAGGTCCGCACAAACACTTTTCTTCCGACCCATCCCACAGCCTTCCACCAAGTTTTATGTTAAATATTATTCTATTGTTTTACATGTTAAACCTGCCTGATAATGTAATAATATTTGTGTGTCAGCAATCTGAGGGCTGTTCAGTTATTAGTCATCAGACATATTTTTAAAATGCAGTGTAACGGAGGAAAATGTGACACATTTAGCGAGGTGATGTTTATTGCCCTGGAACTCTTGCATGTGTTAATGGGTTTGTGTGGTTATCTGTGTGTGTGTACAGGCATGCTGAGGTGGACGCTTCATAAGAAGGTTCAAAACAATCCTGCCAACAGCTTATCTTTGGTGTGGTTGCTGATAAAGGACCTGGAAAAGGTATTCTGTAGTCCAACTGTTGCAGTAAACTAGGTTTTCTTTGTCAAAAATGCAATTTTTTAATAAATCTCTTAATTTAATTATCTTGAATTCACACTGAAAAACCTGGAGTTAGAAAGTTATATTGGAAAGTATCTGAATAATCTTTTATTTGTCATCGTAGCGTTTTCGCTCTGTCTTCTGTCAAGTCAAGCCCTAACACAGTGTGCGTTTCCTCTGCAGGCCGAGCGTTGGGATTCTCGCAAATGCATCATCCCTCTGCTCCACACTCTCATGTATGCCATCGTCCAGGTACAGTATTCATTGTCGAAGCTTTCTCAGGCTTGTTCATACACACTTACACTTATACTCACAGCCACACTGAACTGAGCTGATACCCACTCTGTTATGTTACTGTTCCCACTTCTCTAATCCATTCTGAGTACGTAACAGATGCTTGGACTGAATATATGTGGTTAACCTGACTGACAGAGCCACTCTGCCTTGTAACGTCAATCTGGAAATACATCAGACTGACATGTTTCTAGAATGGGCTCTGCAATAAAATAATATGTGTATTTAGTATAGGGGCAGGCTTTAAAAAAAATCGAGGAGATTTATTTTCTAGTTTGCCCTCGGATGAAAAGTTAGAATGTTAAGAATAAAGTTCTTTTCTTAATTTTGCATTTTGAGAAAAAAAAGTTGAAATATCAAGAATTAAGTGAACAACTAGTGTTGATATGTATGGCTGTCTCCACAAACGGCCTTGTGTAGATTATTGGCATATGTAATTATTCCACTTAATCTTATGTGAATTAGTGATGAGTGTTGCTTTGAATTGTTTGATTTTTTTTATATATCTTCTCTGCTTGTTGTTTAATCTACCACAGTGTTTTAATCATGGGTTTGTTTTACAGTTAGTTTAGAATATGTATAATGCACATGAATTATCCATTCATTTTATTTTATTTCAGGTAGCTTTGTAAAAATTGACTGCGGGGCTACAGATTAATATAAGCTTATACATCTTAATAGAATTTCTCTTCCTTTGACTAATGAACAAGTAAAATTGTTCTTTAGAATTTGAAATGAAATAAATGATCTTGCTCCAAATTAGCTTGATTTTACTCACATTTTTTCCTGACATTCCAACTTTATTCACAAAATACAAAATGGAGAAGAAGGAAACATTCTTTTTCTCTTCTCATTTTTTTCTTATGCTCAGCCTGTTATACTCTTCTGTATTTGTCCAAAAACAATTGTGAACAAGGAAGTGGACACCTTAAATAATGACATTTAATCCTGTGCATTGTTTTCTGAGTGATAATTACAATAAGCCAACAATGCAAGCGATATCATTAGGTATATTGGTTTTACTCACCAGTATCAGTTGTAACTTGTGTGTGTGTGTGTGTGTGCGTGTGTTTTTGTGTTCATATTTCAGACAGCCTTCATTCCAGATGAGCTGTACAAGCGGGTTTACAACTTTAGCAAGAGACTCATGACGTACCCTTACCCTTACTGCTCCGTAGGCCTCAGCTACACGAGGCAACTCAAAACTGAACGCTCCACTCCAGGTACTGATCATCATACTGTACAGAAAGAAAACATTCTGTGTCACCATTATCATTCAACTAAAACTGAAAACCATGAAATATAATCATAACCAACCTGAGCAAACCAAAAAGATACCAGATGCAGCCTACAACAAAGACATCAGCAGTTAGTTACAGCAATTTCACTCTCAAATCTGCTCAGAGACAAATTGAAAAATGTAGTAGCTGCTTAAATGTAATGCCAACTAATCTGTTTGATGATTGGCACACACGTTAAATACCAGTTTTATCCACAGGTCTGATGTATCAGAGGATGGTCACAGCAGAGCAGAGGCTAAAAAATGAGCATTATCCCTTTCAGGACAGGTGAGTCATCAATGAATAATGTATATCTGTGGGTACAGCAACAACAGATTCTCCTGCATATAGTAATACTTGCCTTCTCTGTCAAACTCTAAAGTATGTTGTGTAAATCCTGGCAGAGTTTTTGTTTTGGCTGACCCTGACCTCTTCTCTGAGTCCCTGGGACAAGTCCTAGTGGAGGACATTGAGGCGTCGGCCTCAGGTGGATATATCAGTCCTGTAGATGTCATGCGCGGCGTGGTCCAACACTCCATCCAGGCTGCCTTGGGGTCCGAACACTGCAACGGGCCAAAGCTGTCTCAGGCCCTGAAGGTCAGTAAAGAAAGAATTTTCTTTAATCGACGGTGCTCAGTTATCGCCTACTCTTCTCATTCCTCTTATGTTTTATGGTCAGTGCAGTGAGTCTGTCAGTCTGGTTGAGATCATTTGGCCGCAGGTTTCCTTTAACTGTTTTAGACTCTGATAAGTTCAGGGTTTGTTGATTGTGAATGTAGATAAAAGTAGAGGAAGAACTCCAGAAATAGATTGATGCTTGCGAGCTAGTTACTCGGTCAGCTCGGGCTGCACCGCTTTATTCAGGTGGCATGCTCACTCTCTAAGTTAGCGGTCTATTTAAGCTGCAAAGATTTCCCATCTCTCCCTTTGCTTGTCAATGCCTCTGCTGCCCTGCATCAGTATCTCCACCTGCAGCCTTTGAAGGGAGGGAGTAAGATATTTGCTCACCACTACCCATTATATAGGCAGCTGTGGGTAATGAGGGAGAGCAGGTCATCCACTAACCAGAAGGTCTGTGGTTCCCTGGGCAAGAACTTCAAATTGCCCCTGATGGCTGTGCAGCTAGTGTGTGAGTGATGTGATAGAGAAAGTGCTGCACATAGATGCTGTGTATGAATATGTGTGTGAACGGGTGAATGGCAAAACTGGTCATTAAGACTAGAAAAGCTCTGTAGTGACAAAGTCAGAGCCTTGACACTGAACTTGTAACGATGTTCTGCTGCTTCAAACATGAGTTGTTGAAATAAGGTTTCTTGATTTGTTGGATCTAAACATGTAGCACTGCATTGAATGTAAAAGGGTCCCCTAGCACAGGCATGTGATTATGTTGTTTCAAGGATTTCGACCTCCTCGTCACATCAGATGGATGTAAGTTGGACTGTTCCACGTAAAGTTGATGGATACCTTTCTTACAGCATTTTGACTTTGACTTGAAAGATAAAAAGGATGACCTGTCCTAAAGCAGAGATTAGTCCAGTTTACTCTGTCACTTTCAGTTTCATTATCATGACATGAGCTGTGTTATATGATTTATTCATTATTTATTTATTTGTCAATGATTTTGTTTCTATTTTCTTATCATTTTTTGTACTGTGTACTAGTTAACTAAACTAAAACACAAAAAAAGAGAGGAAGGTATTCTAGTCATTCTCTATTTTCAATTAGACTTCATCAAGAAAAGCAGGACATGTCACCAGGATCATAAGAGCTTCAGAAGAAATCTGCTTGCTTAGACTCTCACAAAGTATCACTTCACATTGATTCTCTTCAGCCTCTTCACTGATTTCTGATCAAATCGATTTTTGCAGTCAATTTCATAATGTCCTTAAAGAAATTTTCCATCTTCTTTCTATCTTTTCCCGTGTGAAAGCACAACTCCCGACTGACTGTTGCAATTCAGGATGGAAGTGAATGACCTCTGTGTAGAGAAATCATGTGCACAAACCTCTGTGGTCCCCACATGTAGAGCATGTTAGGAGATTTGACTCAAGAGCTGCAGGGTAGTCAGGTTTTTTAGGGGATTAAAATAGTCCTAAATAACATCCTGAACGAAGGACTGTTGTCTGCAAAACGTCATGTTGGACGTGTCTCCTGGCACACGTCCTAGAGTAACACCTCAGAGACATAGACACATAGAAAGCAGACATACGCACACACAAGTGGCCCTTCACCTCTTTGCTATTAATACTTGCTCTGTATGTATTTATCTTCCTGTGTGTGTGTGTGTGTGTGTGTGTGTGTGTGCGTGTTTGGGGACAGGACATGGGCCAAGACATTGAGCCGTACTTTCAGGAAGTGCTGGCGACTCTAGAGCAGAGTGCGGAGGATGGCGGCAGAGGGGAGAGGGGAGCGCTGAGAGGCCGTCTTCTGCAGCTGTACAGTGAGATCGTCACCGTCGCAGACTCAGGTACGAGCTCTCTGGAAAGAAAAAACTCACTGACGGTTGAAGTTTCTTTAGGGCAAAGCTGCACCGTCAGAACAGTAGCTCAGCATCAATGAATGGAGGGGGAGGGGAACCAAAAGAACCAGTCATTGCAGGAAATGTGACCACCCCTCCTTAATAACCTGTGAATTCTGCCACATACCCTCAGCCATCCCAATCATTACCTATGAGAATTAACTGCATTATGTGTGCAGGTTAATGCTGCTAACTACCGACTGTTTATTTTTAAAGGTCCAGTGTGTAAGATTTAGGTGAAATGGAACTATTGGCAGAAATTTAGTGTAGAATAATTCTCATGATATTTTCACTAGTTCATTTCAACTAAATTGTATGAATTGTAGTTTTCTTAAACCTAGAAAAGGCCCTTTATATTTAAATACTTTATATTTACATCGAGGGGACCCTCTCTACGGAGGCCACCATGTTTTTTACATCAGTCCAGACTGAACCAAACTGAGTTTTTCTGACAATTAAAGGCTACCACAGGTTCTTTTTCATGTTTGGAAGGAGAGGGTGAGGTGAGGGGTGTCCAGCTGCAACATGACACTTCAACACTAGATATCACAAAATTCTACACGCTGAACGTTTAAATAAAAAAATACAGAGGTATTCAGAGCAGAGGTGTGGTCAGAGGCACACGCAGTACTCAATCAATAACATTGTGTGGTTGAATCTGCTTGGCCAGTAGTTTTTTATTGTGAGCCAAGATGGAGGAGACCGTGATATTAGCTGTGTCGAACCAGCCGCTTTATGATGGCGGACATATACGTTATAAACCGCCCTAATCAGAGGCTGCCTGGCTGGCAGTGAGTCGGAAGATGGCTCGTACAGCGACCACAACCTCAAACTGACCACAGACCACACAATCGATTTCCGTGTGCGTCACATCTGACACTGCCCACATTCAGCCAGCGATGATGTGTAATTTGACTCAGCGGGCGATTATCATATACATACTTGTGACCGTTCCCTTAAGGGGGGTAGATACCGCTTTCACTTTGTTTTTAAGCTACAAGCATACGGTTCACTACAGCGGGGGTGTAGGGGCAGCTCAAAAAGTTAATAATCTTAATAAACTTTATATTCACTTTATATCTGGTGAAATGTTCTCCATGTGTTGTTTGTATGGTAAAAATTCCAGGATGTGATGAAACTCTAAAAGCCAGTCACCATCTCAGCACTGTTCAAACACACATTCGTTGTGTGTTAACAAGAGCTTCACATGCAGCTGCTGCTGATGTTGGACATGTGATTTTGCTTCTATGTGCAGATTTCCTCCTCCTGGCCAAATCAAGTCAAGTCAATCGTCTGTATTTTTAAAATTTTCCGGATTTCTATTTCTGAGACATTCACTCTTTTCCCCACTATTATCATGTTGGCAACCCATCCGATGAACCTGATCCCCCACCCCCCAGTCCCAGCAGGGAGACCACCAAGGGATGGACAGCAGTGTTGACATGGAGGAAGTTGTGAGGGGGGCTTGTTTTGTTTTGAGTGTCATTGTAACAGTTTGGTTCTTTTCCTCTCTCTCTTTGTGTGTGTGTGTGTGTGTGTGTGTGTGTGTGTGTGTGTGTGTGTGTGTGTGTGTGTTCGCAGAGCCATTGTCCGGCGGTTCGCTGTGTGACTGCCCTCTTCCTAACCCAGAGATGAGCTTCCACCTGTTGACAGAGGACCTGGATATCTGTGAGTGGCTCTGGCCTCTGTGTGTCTGTGTGTGTGTGTCTGTGTGTGTGTGTGGGTGGGGACATATTCATTTCTCAGCAGAGATCGTGTGTTTTGGTTTACGACTCATCGACACCGGGGTCAGCTCTTTATTTTGAATATGTGCACAGCAGATAACTCATGTCTGTGGTCTGTTTATGATGAGCTGTACATCTACACAGGAAGTCAGCATGTCTAGATGAGATATGGCCACTTTGTGTGAAGTAACAGTGAATGTGTGACTGAGTCTTTGTTCTGACCTGCGAGTGTGAATCTCTGATGCAAGTTAAATATGTTGACAGGGCGAGAGCTGGGCAAGTGGTTTCGATCCAGCTCCGGGTTGGAGAAGTTCTCCCTCAGCCAGGAGCAGGAGGACTTTGACCTGGGGGACTCGCCCAGCGATCTTTTGCCCTCGGACGTAACTCGCTTCTCCGTCATGTCCAACGACAGCGGCATCGAAAGGGACCTCGGTTCTGAGACTTCGCCATCATCAACTATGGACACTGCCAGCATGCGTGCATCATGGGAACAATGCAAAAGGTAACACCTATATATTTTTTTATTTTGCTTTTATTTAAGGTGCTGACCATCTAGAATGCACTAAGGATATTTTCACACCTGATGGTTCAGATCTTCAGTTCATGTTCATGTCTGTATTACACTGTTTCCATGTGATCCAGTTAATTTTAGATTCTAGCGAGTGCACTAAATGATTTTGTATCCCATACTGTTTTGTCATCATCACCTACGTGGGCTGTGTCTACCTATACTTGATTGATGTTGACGGATGTGTGTCTGACGTCAGCATGTTGTCACTTGGCAGGTAGTGCTTGAATTGAGAAAATTAGTGAACCGGTCCATTTTGTTGATTCCATTGTCCCAGTACGATCATTGTGGTTTTACTACCAGCATCATCAGCTTCAAGTGCAGTACTCAACACTAAGTTGAATAACTGAATTCTGCTCTTTTGGTTGGGACTGTGACCCGAGTCACCTTTTACAACTGTTAGACAGACAAAACGGAAAAGTCAGAAGGTCTGGACCAACAGGGTAGATGTAAAAGCGCCCTTTAATTTATTGAATTCATCTTGAATTTAAGGAGGCAATCTTCAGAAGAAACTTTTTTTTCTTTAGAAGTACTTAGTGACACAAATCATTTGGTTTCTGTGCTTAACATCATTTTCTTTATGATCAGGACTTGATAACAAACCGTCTTCCTCCTCACAGAGAGCAAGAGTCAGGACGCCTGTCACGCCGTCCAGGAATCAAGATGAAGCCATCAATGAAAGACAGTATGGTGCTGATGCAGGACACGTTGGACGAGCATGCCACTCTAGGAGGAGGAGGGAGGGGAGGAAGAAAAGGGGCTACTCTACAGAGGCGGGCGGGGAGCACGGTGATGCACAACCCCTTCACCAAGCAGCAGAGACACTTTACTGCCAGACTAGTCGCCATCGGGGATGACAGAGTACTGGGCCGCCTGGCCAAGACCTATTATTTCTTCAGGTGAGCGACTCCTTATTCCACCAGATGTAAACACAGAGCGGTTGAACCTCTTTGGCAGCAGCTGGAGGTTGCGGTGTTGCTCAGGGACTTGAGATGTACCTGACTGAGCTGTAAAATATAAGGATTCCATTCTTTTTCACCTCAAACTAAAGATTATGATCTAGATCCCTCTACTACATTGTACTGTATTACTGTAATATGGTGCCAGGTGTTTGTTTGTTCTTCTTCTAAATCAAATGTCATAAACAAAAGCTTTTTGCTAGGACAGTCAAATTGCTATAACAAGCGTGTACACATGTGACACTTCTCACAAATCATTGGTTTGTGTTACCAGGAAAAGGGAAGCGCAGCGGCTTTTTCTCACAATGAAAGTCAACCTCCAGTTTTACTACATCCCTGTTTGCAAGGAGCCAACTCACATCTCCTCTGTGAAGGTACGACAACTTCCTCCCGGCCACCAGCACTGTGTGAAAGTCAACACACCTCAAAAGAGAAAGAGAATGTAAACTGAAAAATCATCAGAATGATATTGTGTGTCTTATCATACTTTTGTAATGCTGCATTGAAATGTTCAGCAATAAAATCAGTCAATCGATCAAAAAAGAAAATAAACTTTAGACTCAACTGTTAATGATAAAACATCCAGGTTCTTTGTAATTTCTTACTATTGCCCCCAAAATCTGCTTTTAGTTACCAATTGTATTATCTTTATCTGACATCATTGACATATGAAGTGTATTACAATACAAGTAAAGTACAAAACTTTCCAACTTCTTCCTTCACTGATAAAATATTTCCACCTCTTGTCTCTGTTCCACTTTCATGTTCCTTTTTGTAGGAATGCCACTCCATCAATCCCTCTCTGGGGAATCCCTGCTCTCTCGGTTCGTACCTTAGCATGGTGGACCCCTGGTACAACTGTAACATCAAGAGTTTAGGCTCCATGATCCCCAAGCTGGCTAAAATGGTAAGATACAAGTCAAAACCGATGTTCTTCCTCTCTGTCTCTGTGTCTTTCTCTGCATCTCTATGTCTTTCTCTATGTCTCTGTGTCTTTCTCTATGTCTCTGTGTCTTTCTCTATGTCTCTGTGTCTTTCTCTGCGTCTCTGTCTTTCTCTATGTCTCTGTGTCTTTCTCTGCGTCTCTGTCTTTCTCTGCATCTCTGTGTATTACTCTATGTCTCTGTGTCTTTCTATCTGTCCGTGTGTCTTTCTCTGCGTCTCTGTGTCTGTCTCTGTGTCTTGAGTGAAAAGAATGACTAACACAATTATGGGCTGCACTGGGTTATGGTCTATTGTAGAGGAATTCTGCTAAAATGTACTGTGCCTCATTTCAGTCAATGTGGCAAATGTCACTGTAAATTGAAACAAAGGAAGTGACTTCTTGTTCTGTCAGGAAGTGAAATACGTTTTCAATGAAACCACAGCTTCAGTGAGCAGACAACTCGACACTGCGCAAGTCTGTATGGTTAAGCAGGAATTAAAAGTTCTACGTATCTGGTAAAAAATGATTCGAATCATGTTGAAGTTGAGTTCACCTCATGAAAATGTATAGAAAAAGGCTGTTTTGCTCTAGAAAATGATGAGTACTTCCATTCCTTCATTCCCTCTGAATACTAAATAATCCAAAACTAAATAATTATGATTTGAAGGGGAGCTTTTTTTATATTACACCTTATGCATCAGGTTCCAATTGAAATCCTTAACTAACCTGGGGCTTTTTTTTGTTTGAATGTATTCACACTACACACTTTATTGCACGAGCTGACAGGTCGTGTGACCTTTTAGTGACTCGATATATTCAGTTGATATGACTCATGTGTGCCGAAAGTCATTTTGTTGGTAAAACATTAATTGGTCAAGTTAATTTTAAACAACTTCTGTCATCCCCAGCAACAGGCAAACCCAGGGAGGCCAAAAGAGCCCTTCATCTCTGATGTCATTTCCTACTACGTCCGCACCGGCCAGCAGCCTGTCTACTTCAGCATCTATTTTGTTAAGGTAATATGATATAATGTTTGTGTAGATGTTTGTTTCTTAGACATGAGAGCAAAGTCTGTATCCTCTCATCTGTATTCACATTTGTCAAAATAGAAATATCAGGTGTTTTCACATGTTGCTTGTTTTCCTGTAGCTCACGTTCACGAGCATGACCAAGAAGCCTGTTGAAGATGTGTTCCTCACCCACCTGGAGCTGGAGTTTCCTGAGTTCAGATCGATCGCGGCATCATTTCGAGGTGAATTGGGTGCACATGTATATTATTACCTCCACCGAGGAAGTTATGTTTAGTTAGTTAGCAGGATAACACAGAAACTACTGGATGGATTACGAGGAAACTTTGTGGAAGTATGCAGGAAGAATTTTACAATTTTGTGCAGATCCAAATCAGGAGGAGAATACAGGATTTTTTTTTTCTTCAACTTTCTTTTATTATTCTTTTACAATTTTTTATTTTTTTTTACATTTTCCCTGATTCCTCTGAAAATATTTCATGGATCTTGATGAAAAAGCCTTCTTTAGGGGACTGATATATATGATGTCTGTAATGAGATGCAGATCCTAATAAAAATATGGATCTAGTTCATTTAAAGTTGTTCAGAACTTGGTGGAGGTTTGGGCTCTAATGGGGGCCATTCTACTTTTTCCAATGTTTCCTTTCATATTTTACTGTATGTGCACTGGTGACCCTTATGTTAGCATGCACCTGTCTCTCTGTGCATGGAAGTTGAACAACATGCTTGTCTCTCCAGCAGATAAATCAAGGAGGGGCTCGGGGGAGGCTTGTGGAGCTGTTTTGTCCATGAATTACAAAAAGGTGTGTTCCCTTGTTTTTGTAGATGCAGAATTTCCTTATCAGATTGATCGTCAGTGGAGGTTTCTGTTTCCAGATCATGTCGTTTGTGTGCGGTAAGCCTTTGTGTGAGTGCATAAACACTGACGCTGGTATGTTGTTTGTTTGTGTGTGTGTGTTTGTGTCCAGGTGACATTAAGCGGCAGAGACGTTGACAAAGGAATCTCTGTTAGGACGACAGGCGCTCAGATCAATGCTATTTCCTCTAGTGAAGCAGAAGGTTCGGTACCTTAACAAATGCAGTATTTCAGTCATGTCCCAACACACAGAGTTTTTTTCTTAAATATTCTACGACTGTCCTAATTTTTTTCTCTTCCTCTCTCACAGATCTGAACTGTTTGACTCTGACGATGAATGAATCTCCAACTAAAACTAAAAACAGGGACGTGGTAAGTCCAGGCGGTATGAGTCAGCCTTCACTTCTATGAGCTTAGAGAATCTAATTTACACACAATTTACATTTTCACATGACTCACACTCTTGTTGAGCGCCTGAATATTTTTAGTGACTAAGACTAGTGTTGGAATGAAAACAGTTCATATGATGATGATTCCTTTAATACTACTATCTAAAAATTCACAGGAGTCAAAGATTCGGACCAGCAACATCAAGATTCGCACTTTGGAGAGTCGATCTTTCACCATCACTCTGGACAGAGATTCTCACCGGACGTACAGAGACGTGCAGAGGTAAGAAAGAGTCGACCCCCTGCTGTCCTGTTGCTGACTGACTTCATTTTTACACCACTGAATAAAGGTCATATTCAAGCTTTGGTGTTTCATTAGTTGGAGAAATAATCATTGATGGTCATGATTGCCATCAAAGCAGGAGCAGATCAAAGAGCTGCTATTAATGAAGCCCTCTCCAGGACACAAGGGTATCAGCTGTGGTGGGTTTTTAAGTGGAACCCTGCAGCTTGTGTTTGAAATTGTTCTTCTGGGCTCTTGTTTGTGCCACAGCTTGATTTGCATTTCTTTCTTAATTGCTTTCTTTTATTCCTAAGAAAAAAGTTTGGAGCACGTAGCGTATAATACTGTTACGAGTCTTAAAGTTGGTCCTTTCAACACACTTGAATCTGGAGATTTCTGTTTGACACAAACTGATCGCTCTGCTCTGACCATGCTTGTGTTATAGCATCGAGATCTCCCCGTGTCTTGATCCCGGATACTGCATCCAGAAAAACATCAGGTCCAAAAACACAGGACTGAGCAAATACATGAGCAAAGGACTCCCTCTACCTATAAACACGTTTGCTGGAATCGTCAACTGACATGAGGATTGCGCAGAAAAAAATCATGACCATCCAAGCTGTGTGAGGACTTACTGACAGACAGACAAAAGACATACTGCACAGGAGTCAGTTGCAGCTGTTGGGGCACACGCAGGGTAAGACTGAACTCCACAGCCCTCCAAACAGTGTTTTTACCCTTTGTGTGTAAACCACTATGCGTACTTTAAGACAGACTGACAGTATAATGCAATAAGAGCAATATTGCAGTGACACTGCAGAGGGAAACACATAAGCACAATAGACTACACAGTCAATTGCAAATAAATTAATTTGCATACAGTGACGATCTCAGGGCTGTTGATGATTGGTTGATATAATCATGTGACATGATAATTTAAATTCTGCTGACATTCTGGTAAGATTAAGGTTGAGTGTTACAGTTGTTTTAATTCCATAGACACACTACCTTTTACTGTCTCCTTAACACATGCAAACACAGACACAAACACATTTACCTGAGTACACTCACATGGAACAATGCAGAAACACAGACACACCTGCTGTCAGATATTGATCCGTGTGAATTGTTGAGGGAGTGGTACGATGACAGCTGACACATCACTGTCAGCTTTTTCTTTGCATTATCGTTCAAATCACTTGTTATTCCCTCAACTGTCATTACCAGCTGATCCACACCATTCTTGGGTTCAGTGTCTGGAAACGTTCTCGAGCAGAAGCTAGAACCATGTGCAATGTCCGGCATTCATAGAAAAGGAACAACTTTTTCACAGTATCAGAGACATGTGGATAATACACAGATCAAGCAACAGAGGGGGGATGAAACACTTCATTTTAATCCCTCATCCACTCCATGTGGTGCATTACATAAGTTTGCTACTCTTCATCTATTTGCACTAAATCAGTTTTTTTTTTATTATTTCCTTGTGGAAGAGAAACAGCTGTGAGTAAAGTAATATGAATTATGAGTAACGTGTTGTTATATCCTCACATGCCATGATAATGAAAACCTTAAAACATAACCATGATAAGATATCCTTTTACTTTTAGAGGGCTGTTCTAGAGCTGACACAACTTTTGGTTAGGTTGTGAGTTATTCATGGAAAAGTAAAGATCTTCTGTGTTTTGTGTGACTCAGGAGCCTTTGGACTCCTTTAGGAGTAAAGGTCAACGGCTGCAAAGACTGGAAGTGATGTGTTATTGGGGCATTACATAAAATCGAATCATGTGAGCCTGGGTGTCTGTGTCTTCTCTAGCCTGGAAGGGTTAAAATCATGAGTTGTGAATTCATTAACAATTTTGCACATTAGTTTCATACATTTTATATGAATTTCTGATATGTTCATGTCTTATATATGTATGAAGAGGATAAATGTAATTGTGTAAATAAATGATTTTGTTGGGAAAACATTTCTGGCCTGGTGTTTCATGATGCAGCTTGAATCAACGAACCTCAGAGACAAGGAGGCGGTGTTGCCCTGATGCAGGGGCGTTGAGAAAGGATACGTTCATCCGCCCCCTAAATTCTATGATGTTCTTTGTACTGCCACAACTCTATGGTCGGAAACTCCCCCACAAGGCCCCTTAGCTTTCCACTCTAATCATAATTTTAGACATTTGGTTGAAGAATAGTGTCTCTGAATGCACGTGTCAGACACCCATGACGCCCACTCACATTACTCACTGGCCAACTTTCAACAAAAATAAATTTTGTTACAGAAAATATGGATGAGAAGAAATTAATATAAACTTCCGATTAAAACTGAACAAGCGAAACAAGCGGAAGGAAGCTATTGGAACTGCAGTGGTTGCTATGGCTTTATGTGGCTATGGGGTCTGTGTGTAGTTGTCAAAAAGGCAGTGAAGCAGATAGTTAGTAATCAACAGTATGAACAGGCACATCCAAAACATTATGTCTGTCTAGGCTGCTGTGTATAACGTGTGGGATGGTGATGGGGGGCTTGCACTTTAACTTTAATATTTTAATTTATGTTGATGTGCAGTTTTCACTTTGTTATTTGGATATTGAAACAAATCATTTGAATATTGGAATAATGTGTTTTTTGTTTATTGGGGGGGGGGGGTATTCATTTTGGTCCCCCCACCGCCCCTGTCCCTTTTGCCTGTCTCCCTTTAAGTCTCTTGAAACGCCCCTGCCCTGACGCAAAACACAGAGCTCTCCTGCGCTGTATCTGCGCTCAATGACCACTAGATGACAGTAGTTAGTCGCTCTCCGGGCAACGTGTGTTACTAGGGTGCTGTTCACACACACACCACACACACACACCACACCTGCCTGAGCAGCAGCTGGGCACAGCTGGAGCATCTCTGCCTCCTCTGCCTCTGCAGGTTTGGTGTGTGAGTAGCGATGACTCAGTGAAGCACAACAGCAAAGTGAGGCTGGCAGACCCTCCCCTGTAGTTTCCACTGCTGATCCTCAGCCTCTGCAACTGGAAGAAGAGAAGAGAAGAGAGGAGCTGCACTGTGCCACTGGACCTGATGGAGAAGAAGCCAACATCTTCTCATCAGTACGGTTCACTGGAGCGCACTGAATGGAGCAGAGACGCCAGCAAACCAGGTTAACCAACCAACCAACACTGCAGCATCTATTCTCTCAGTTTAAAGTGGCATTCTCTCTATATTTTATATCCACTACAGTTAATGTTCCTTTTGTGTCTCTGTGTATTTACCTCATGATAATTGGTACAGGCAGTTACTGTCTTTGGGATAGTGAATAGTGAATTTATAGGGACCTCAATATGTTATTATGTGATGTATGGCACCACAGTATTCCATTTCATAGTACTATATCATGTTAACATGACTTTAGTTCCTTTCAGGTTATTTTTATTAGGCTGGTTAATGGAACCAATCAATGTATTTTTTTTCTAGTATCAGCACAGGCAGCTGCTTGAAAATGTCAAGAATCCACAGGTGTCATCTCCAAGTGTGCGTGTGTGTGTGTGTGTATATTACCTGCCCCTCAAATGATGAATAATGACCCACATGTGTGACTTGAAATCATCTCAGCATGAGAAATTTACTATTTCTTTGCTCCTCACAGCTGTAATGTTTGTACATTTTCTCTACGTATCATTTATTAATAAAATATCAGAAAAACGGACAATTGTCGACCACAGCTTAAAGTCCCATGTGTCTTCACATGTCCAGTTCAAAATGTACAATTCCAGTGATTTCAGAGAAAAGCAGGATGTGCACATTGGAGAAAGTGGATTCAAACAATCCTCTGCTTTGCTGATACTCATTGTTGTCTCACTGTACATGTTCATTATTGTGCCTTTTTGATAAGCAGGGGCTGAAACACTTACGATGATAGAAGGGAAGTTTGCAAAACTGTGCAAAGTCTAAGTTGTATTTTGTGAAAGAATTCCCTCTTCCTCTATCTATCTCACCCCTTCCTCTTTTTTCTCTCCTCCTCCTCCTCTCTTCTTCACTTCTTCCTCCTGGTCTCTAATCTGGCTGATTAGTCTGTCAGTATGCTGCTCTACCTCATTAAATGTAAAGCACATTGAGCCATTGTAAAAAACAAAAGAGCCTTTAAGTTTAGCTCATGATGTAACTCACATCTTCGGGGGCTTGGATACAAAAAGGAGAGGGGGGAGAGGTGTTGGTAGAGAGTGGGATGGGGACCAAAAGGAGGGGACTTTCCATAGAGGTCTGCTGATGAGTCATAACTGCTCAGAGGCAGAATAACCTGTCCTGAAGAGCCTCTGCAGCCAAACACGATGTCTCCAACAAGAATGCACCAAACATTGAATGTTTTCTTTAAGATAACGAAAGAAAGTGGGCACGGTCAAAGTCAGTGAAGCTCGTCTGAGATACATGTGGCGAATGAGCGATTATATCTGTGTGTGTGTGTTCCTGCTGGTAGTGGCTGTGCTGTTGTGTTAGCAGCAGATCCTGTATAAATGAGTGTTATTGCTAGTACAGTAAATGGTCACCCTGGAAATGTAATGAGTAATTACAGTGTGTGGTTTAAAATCCTGGATATGAACAGTGCCAAATTTCAAAATGTCTTTATAATTACTTTAATGCTCTTTACTAGACCTCTACTTATAGGTGTGTGTGTGTGTGTGTGTGTGTGTGTGTGTGTGCTGTACTGGTACACACTGGTATCTTCCCAGCTCTCGTCCAGGAAGTGACAGTAACACGGAACAACTGCAGTGATAAATATAACCAATGACGGTAGAGCACATAACTCAGCTGAGGCCCAACAGCTTCTTTAAATTCAATCAAGCTGCACACACTCATCGATATCAGTCCCCTAAATATGTCAGATTCTTTTCATTAAGATCCATTAATTATTATCTTGGAAATCAGGAAAAATGTAAAAAATATAATAAAAAAATCTCTTTATGTTAAAGAAGAGAAAAAAAAATGCTGATCCGCCCCTATGTGAAAATGTAATGGGTTCTTTCCTGGCCGATAGCACATCCTTTCTGTGGAAATCCATCCAGTAGTTTTTGCACAATAACTAAAAAAAAGTAAATGTAAACAACATAAGAATTCAAGAGCAGGCAGAGGTGATTTCTTCTAATTGATATCGGGGGTAAATGAAATACGAACTTTGATGTTCACGGCTAAAACAACTGCATTTTTTAGAGGCTGGTTGCAGGTGAATGTTTGATTTAGCTTCATGTTTCTGCTTCTGATTTGATGTCCTCTCATATCTCCTCACACTGCTGCACACAGTGGTTGAGACATCGGTAAAACAAATACCATATACATTTCTATTATATATTATTTGTTTTTTAAGAAGAAGATTTAAAAGATGGAGTTAAAGCAGAGAGTGGTTTACAGTGTGACATGTACAGATTAGCACCCAGTGTCACGTTTACTGTTACCGTTCACCCAGCCACCCTCTGTGCATGATATGGTTTTTTAATTGCAGAGCCCGCTGTGTGTGAAAGAGAATATTCCTCCAGGGACTCAGACCCTCGTCTCATTATTCTGTGGAAATAATTAGCATCCTTTCTATGAACATGTAGCACTGTATGCTGAGAGGTTGTGAAGGCAAGTTCAGTATGTAAAGTTGCTCTTTGATAGTTGTTGCGTAACTCCAGAAATGCTGGAAATACAATGGCCTGAGTCAGGTTAAAGATAAAGTGACTCCTGAGGTCAAATCAAAATGCTAATTATCTTAAAGTGTGTTTTAGGAGTCTGGCCACAACTAACAATGACTTTTTTACTTCTTGTTTTCTCTATCTCTTCCTCTTTCCCAGAACTCCGAATTATGTCCATGAATGTCCTGTTTTATCTAAACTACAGTCCAAAACCCAAAAAGTCTCAATTTACCATGAAACAACACTTCATAACAATGACGTAATATATAGACATTGTTGCTGAGTCTTGTCTTAGCTCGAGTTATGAAAGACATTTAGATCTAATTCTGTGTCACTGAATTACTGAACTGTGAACTTTCTCTCAACAACAAAATAAGACAAAGTAAACAGGACTGCAGTGTGTGTCTGACAGCCGAACTGGAGGGGTGACAGCTATTTCCTGGACTGACCCAGGGGTTTAGGCAAATAATCAGTTTTTCTGTGTGTGTGTGTGTGTGTGTGTGTGAGGCAGGGAGAGAGAGGAAGAGTCGTGCCAAACCTTGACACTTGGTAATTTAGCTGTGATGCTTGGCTTTGCTTCTCATCAAGCAGCAATTTCAAAGCACATCTGCTGCAGCTGTTGATACTGTTTAAAATGCAGATTCAGTCATTGGATTATCTGACTGTTGAAGAGGTGTAAACTCCCTTAAATAGAGAAAAGAGTCATGTTAAATAGAGGCCGTCCGGCCCATTCTTGTGAACCTGAACCTGAGAGAGTTTCTTCAAATTTGGTAGAAACGCTCAGTTGGACTCAAGCATGCATTCATTTGATTTTGGTGGTTAAACATCACAGGTCAAGGTCACTGTGACCTCACAAACTGCTTTTTTCGCTTTGTGAATACAATATCTCAGTAACACCCAGGGATTCCTTTCAAATCTACTGGTCAAAGGTCAAAGGCCACGGATATGATGGCCTCAAAACATGTTTTTGGTATTTTTACATTATCTCACGTCTGCATTAAGGGGATTTCCTCATATTTGACCTGTTGTCACTTGGACTTAAAGACTAACTGGTTAGATTGCATTATTCAAAGGTCAAAGGTCACTCATAAAGTGACATCATATATAGACTGAAACTGCACTGGTTGGTGGAGGCATACAACCGCAGGGTGGTAATTCAACTTTCTTTATAACAAACTCTCTCTCTCCCTCTTTTTCTCTCTCTCCTTCAGAGGACGATGTGGTGTCCATGGCGGACTCCACCATCACCGTGGATGACATTGAGGGGGAGCTCTTTAAGATTGAGAGGATCAGAGACGTCCTGGTCAGGAGGGAGTCAGAGCTCAGATACATGTGAGTGATTTAACAACACTGCTTTCACTTGTGTGTCAGTGGTGTGTAAATTGAAGTGAGGCAGCAGAAAAATAATTTATTTGATAATAGCACCCCATATTCCTTTGTGGTGGGATACACGTGATGTGATAAAACCTGCATACATAAGAATAATGAGTGGACAAAAAGAGGACACACACAGCCAGGCACTCATCCTTACTTCCTGTGCGGCAGAGCAAAAGCTGAACAGAGAGCTGTTGTTACTTTGAATAGATTTGATCTAATCTATAGAGGCTGTTTAAGGTAACTCCTTGATCCGTCTGCACATCTTGATTTTTAACAAGTCCCGAAGTTCAGTGAAGGAGGAGAGGATGAGAGTGAACGTCTTTGTTTTTATACATTAACCACTCTATATTCCTAACTTTAAACAATTGCCAAACACTTAACACAGCTTTATTCACCAAATATATGAAAAAATTGAAAGAAAGAATAAAAACACAATAACAAAACTTGATCACTGAACATAAATTCTGGCTGTGCAGAATTGGTCAATGCAAACATTTGTAACTGTCACTGTTCTCATTTCGGACACCTCAGCTCTACATTATCAGACCTGGTTCAACTCTCTAAAGCTCACCTGTGCTTTTGTTTAAATGTTAAAATGAGCACATTAACACAAAACGTAATCACAAAAAACATCATCCTGAGAACGAGATCATATGCACCAAATGTTCATGTAATTTCAGTCCATTTAAAAACTGTTTGTATTTGTATTGCCCATATTTACAAATCACATTTTTTCTCATAGGACTTAACAAGGTGTGACATCCTCTGCCCTCAGCAAAATAAAATAAACTTTTAACACAAAACAAATAGTAGAACCCTCAGAGAGAGCCACATGTGAGGATCCCTCTCCCAGGATGGACAGAAGTGCAATAGAACAATATTCAAAACAATATTTACAACATTCATGAGAAAAGACAGTGCCTAACATAAATGGAGAGATTCACAAGTTTTCATACAGAGAGAAGTGTTTGACAGAGATGAAAGGAGTAGTATTTACAACTGTGATGATGGAGGTGTTTCCAATAATAGTAGTACAGTGGAAACCGCTTATAGTGATCACGTTGTCCTGGGCCAAAATCATCACTATAAGCAATTGATTGCTTGGCCTCTGTATGACAGTCCCAGAAATTGAGGGAAAGGTAACGATGCACGCACACACACACTATTTTATAACTAAATTATTCAAACAGCATTTGTACAGGAACGATTCTGTCCCAAGCTTTTTGATCCATATAAACGGTTGATCGCTATATACGTGATCACTTTATCTGGTTTCCACTGTATAAGTGACTAGGCATATTGTATATCTAAGCAATCTAGTTGTTAGATAAAGTGTAAGATAAACAAACTTTGAAGACTGATTCTGTAACAACCCACAGAACAGCATCCGTCAGACTTTCCGTACCAAGACCAGTTCAAATCATTTTAGCATTTTCCTCTGTTCTTTCCCCTTTATTTATTTTCATCACACCCCATGCTGGCTTTGCCTTTGCTTCTGCTAAGCGGCCTAATGCATGGATATTTATTCATCTGCTTCTCTGAAAGATGGGCAGTAACACTGCTCACAGGGAATGTGAGGAGTGGCGTGCGTGGAGTAGCAAGCACGAGTCATGCAGATAAAGTGGTAGAGTAAGAGATTGTCGGAGGAGACAGAGATTAAGAGTGTTTTCTTCTGGTAAGTTTAAGTTAAGCATGTCATTTGTATTCCAGACCTCATAGCTGTTTCTCCACCTACATGCCTGCAGAGAGTGTCCTACATGACAGGTGGTGGCATGGCATTCACTCTGCTGACAATGATAAATGTGTGTAATGTGCACAAATCAGTGTGACCCTTTTTGTCTGATGTGTCTGCAAAAATCTGTTGGCGAGCATGTAAAGGACCTCAGTGCCAGTAATGATCCCCTGACTTGAAGGGTCATTGGAAGAGAAAGCACGTGGTTCTGAGTGAAAGCTATCTGATTCTGAGTGCACCGCCGGGACTTCTGTTTGGCAAAGATTGTGCCTTCTCCAGTGTGAAGAACTAGATCAATATCTCCTGTTTGAATTTCATTTTCCCTTCAAGTAGAGTCGAGATTTCACTCCTTGTTGCCCTCTAAAGTAGAAAGTGAGTGATATGTAGCATGTGCACCACTAATGTGTGTGTGTGTGTGTGTGTTGTACCATCATCCATCATACTTGTGCAGGATGGATGACATTCAGCTGTGCAAGGAGATCACTCGACTGAAGAAGGAGCTGCACAAATTAGTGTCTGTACCAGGTACGACTGCACGCCTCTCTCCCTGGATGTTAATGGTTGAAAGTTTGGCATTTTGGGAAACAAAGTTATTCACCAGTGTTTTGTAAGAAATAATTGACTTCTCGCAGGACTGTGACTAACATGACCAGTCCTGTGACCAATTCTTCAGACCAAATGAAATGTTTGGTTATTGTACCTGTCTGCCATTAACTGACCTGCCCACACACCCTACCTGTTCTCTCTCTTCTAAGAGTGTAGCTTGCTCTTAGTTTCTCCAGGATTACCAACCCTAGCTTTAATATCCATGTCTACATTGAAAGATTTGTCTACAGGTGTGATCTAACTACACATTTACAGATTGTACGTGTTTACAAATCTGATCATGCACACTCTACACATTTCCATACTCTTTCACTTATTAACAAATCTTACACAACAAAGTTACACAACTCTTCACACACAGCAAGGCACATGATTTTCCTTCCAATAATCAGTATATTGATGGATACATTTCCATACATAATTACCCATTTGTTTATTTCCACATTGTCTGAATTCCCATTATATTTTCACTCAAGCAGGTAAAGTGGGACAAACAATAAAGACACTCAGATGTCGTCTTCCTTTGTGCTGCAGATAATGACAAGTCCAGCGAGGACCGGCAGAAGGAGGACGAACTACTGCAGCAGATACACAAGTTGGTGGAGACAAGGGATTACCTGGTGGACGACGTGGAGTTTGAACGACTCAGGTGTGCTTCGGTGGTTTTATTACAGCTTACAGCTCGGTTGTGAGTCACTATAGGTTGTCAATGAATAATTCACAAACAAGGGGACGTTTCCTGAGGCCCGGCGCTGACAGAGGCACACAGCAGAGAGCCATTTCAATTACAGATGTGTCAGTGAGCGCTGGAAGAGGAGCTGCCATCGGTTAAAAAAGGCTGTTGGTGATTATTATTGAAATTAACATTTTACTAACATTTAACCTATTAACATTTTAGAGGTGTCTGAAGCCTCCAAGGTGCTCGTGCTGGCTGTGTTTTTTTAATCATGATGGAGATGAGGAGAAGATATGTGTCTTACTCATGTTTACCAAAGAGGTCATGTTTTCATTGCCGTCTGTCTGTTAGCAGGATTATGCAAAAACTACAGAATTGATCTTATAGAAACTTGTTGGAAGGTATTGAGGAAGAACAGCAGATCCAGAAGTTTTAAAACCCTTTTTTTTCACTTTCTATAACATTTCTGTAGCCTTGGTGAAGGAATGCACTCTTTAAATGCCCTTCTATTTGGTTGAAGTGTGTTTAATTTGGTGCAGATCTAAATAAAAAGCTAGATCGAGTGAATTTAAATGGTTTCATAAAGGGACTGTTGGCTGAGTGCCATTCTAATTTTATCAGTGTTTATTTTCCAGTTTCTTTAATTTGCAGGATTGTGCAGAAACTTCTCAACAGATTTTTATGAAATGTTGTAGCAGGATGGGGCACGGCCCATTGTCTTTCACTTTAAGGTGGGCTTGCAGTCAGTTGATCCTGTATTATGGAGGACGCTAGCAATGGATGCAGCTGCTCGCTCAGATTTGAGATATCTGTAATCAACTCAGATGCAGCGTATACATCCTCACTGGTCCTGTAACTGAAGACTTGTCACTTGCTTGTAATTGAATGTGATGGTGGTTGAACCACATGTGGTTCTTGAGGTTTTATGTGGTTTAATTTTCTCTCCACTCCAGTTCTCAGACAGTATCATACATGGTTAGACTGTGTGAACGACTGGCAGCTGACAACACGCTGTGAGAGCACTGAAGGGCTGCTGGGAAGGTGAAAGGCAGGAAGCAGGAGAACAACAGTGTGGTAATGGATCGCTGGGAGAAGAGGATGTGACAGCACCTACAGCCGTGTTTCCACGTCAGAATAAAGACATCACTCTTCTGTCATTCATCTCTTTTATTTTAAGACGAACCGTCCTTCACAACATTTAACTTTCTGCAGGTTTTATGTCACAGTTTTTGAAACACATCATTCACTATGTTACAACAAGCATGCTGTTACAGAATGAACAGTATATCAGATATCAATATAGAGTGTAACTAGGCCTAGCCCTGATGGAGCACCACACAGTTATATTATACACTGGTTCTCTGCAAAGACAAAAAATGATTGACAGATCTTTTTGGACTGTATCTGAGAGGGTGTTTCATCTCTGTACTTCTAAAATCTACCTTCTCGCACTCAGAGGGAAAAAGTGAATTAAAAGTACCTCAGACGCCTTTGAGGAGATTTTTGAAATGTTCAGACATACTTGTGGAACAGAGGACAGGTCTGGAGAGTCTGAAGTATGAAGATCAACTTTTCCATTCGTATATTAAGCCGCTTTCAGACATAAGAGGTCTCCAGAGTTTGCCTTTCACACATTCTCCACTCAGACGGCTTCACAACAACACAGAAATCCGCGGAGCATCCAGGTGGGGAGTGAAGCAGCAGGAAGAGGCAGGACGTAACTCTGCTGCAGAGATCTCGTGATTTTGTTTACAGCAAATCGACATCAGTGTCAGCCCAGCTGCTCATGGTGAATCCTGCAGAGGATCTCCTGCTGTGTTCTCACATGGGCTCATTCAGACATTCTCCGGACCCCATCACATTGTATTTTTGCAACAGAAGACTTTAAACTTTAGAATCTCAGTGCTTTTCTATTCATGTATTTTCATGCTCTTTGTGTCTTTTTTTATTTCTACAGGGAGAAAGAGGAAGATAAAGAAATGGCTGATTTTCTGAATTCCAAATTCCCAAGAAATTTAATGAAGAAAGGTATTTAGGAATAAAGACTTCGTCAGAGTATTGACAAGTAAAAGCAAGAAACTGAGGCAAATACTTTTCCTCCTCAGTGCCTGCATGTGTTTGTGAATTACATTATATTGTCTCTTGTCATCCACTTAACATACTACATCATTTTTTATTTTCTGTGTGATTTCTGCAGGTGTACCGACCAGACGGGTGCCGTCCAGGGCTCAGCAGACCTCCTCTCCCTTCACCAAAACCGGCCTCACTCTGCTGAAGGAGTGTTGTGGCTTCACATGCTCCATCATGTAGACAAAAGAGTCAATATTTCCAGTTTCAGCTTTTCAGTCCAAGAAAGACTTAGTAACATGGGCGGAGCGGTGCAACAGTTTCCCAGAGGGAGAGCGTAGGGGGATGCAAAGTTGATATGGTGTGTTTTTAATCCGAGGACCCAAGTTTGTCATGTGTTTGTCTCTATATCTCTTTGGATTTTATATCACAACGTCATTTTTATTCTCTTGCTCTACTCCCCCACATGCCGGTTTTCATTCTTACTCTTGTGAATCATCGCTGCTCAGCCAACTTATCCTGATCAATTGTTTCCAAAAGGGAGCCACCTACTGCAACATACTGTATAATTAAGTTCAACATGTTTGATATATATCCTACATGCCACCTGGATTCACAACACAACCACAAATTGTATATTTAAAGACATAACTGAGCGATAACTGTCATCCCTCATTAAAAAGTAACAGGCCACTCTCGACACACGGCCGGAACTTTATAATTAGCATGACGGAGATAACACTAATGAAACTGACATTAATCTGAAGCTCTGTTATGATGGACCTATCTTTGGCTTGACTCCATCTGAATGGATTTGACCTTTTGAAAACTTTTTTTCTTACTAACCGTCACAGCTGCTTTGTGACAAGACCAACCCTTCCTGTTTCACAATGAGAACTGACAGCAGAAGGGGGAAATAGTGATTGCTGTGTTTTTGGTGGGACACATACAGTATAAAACATACATCGTTAGACATCTATGTGGTAATAAAATCACATGAACAAGCCAAGGTATCAGCTTATAGTAATTTGCAGATATTTGTTCCAAAAAAGAAACTTCATTTAAGTTTCAACTTCAGAATTATTGGAATGACTCATTCTGATCCATAATGATACCTAAATACTCAAATGTTGGTACCATTTCAAATCCCATGATCAGTGGAAATAAGATTTGATGCTAATGTTGATGTAAATTTTTCGACATTTGAAAATTGCTTGGATTTGGATTTGTCTGCATTCAACACTGATTTAAGTTGAGTTACATGAAAAACGTAAAAGGCAGATTCCAGGACAAGTGTTTGTGTAATGAAATATGAAATGCATACATATATATGTATATTAAGTTGTCATATGCATCACTGAGTCACACTTGAGAGTGTTTTGATTTGGTACTTTGTGTTTCATATAAATCTTTTGGCTACGGGTGAAACTTTCACTACACATACACATCAAACATCATAAATTAGTTTCTACCCCATTTTACATATATTAATTTGTTTAATGGCACGAGTATATACCTTTAGAGGTCTGTAGTATAGTATCTATAGGACAGTGGCTCATATACTTGAGACATGGGGCAAAGGGATGTTGTGGCCAATCACACTGTGGAGCACATCTCTGTGTTGCCAAGAAGAACAGACACCATAGCAACCATATGTACCCCATATTTACAATGATACAATGGGGGAGGTTTGGTGGATCAGAAAACGATGGAGCTCCACAGGTGTGACATAAATGAATACTTGAGTCCTGTCGTGGTTACCTAATTAAAAGCATTTATAGGAACAGAGGAACATTGCTGTCATGTTCAAATTTTGGATTCACCAGGGGGAGAATGATGTGCGCTTAGCATTTAGAAAATGTAACTATAATTGAGCCTCTGAATGCCTTTCTCACGCTTTTAGGTTAACTAGCAACAGCTTGGAGATGAAGTAAATACACGGCGATAGATGGATAGATTGATGGATGGATGGATGGATGATTAATCTTTTCGTTCCCATGCCTGTTCGACAGCATTCTCTTGATGATTTACTCCAAACGTGTCCTTTGGCATAGATACATGGATTCAGCTATCTCTCTCGATCTACACATCTTCCGGTATTCCGTCTCAACGCTGTCACAGAGGCTCTAGGTCACACATCGCCCAGCAACCATGATGTCTGGTGCTGTCAGGCAGACTCACAGAGGAATTAGATGTGTGCCAGTAATGTTGAAATACTGTACGTACCTTATGAAGAAATTGTTGCTGTATCAGGAGAATGCTGTGTCTTGTTCATTTGTGTGTATATTTAACACAATATATATATATTTAAAATAAGATGGACTCTTTAATGAGGAGATTTGTTTCAAAATGTTTTTCGGTTAAGACATTGGAAACCATTTTGTGAAACAAAAGTATTTGTATTAAGTTCTGATAGAGACAGTAGTGGTTAGCTATAGGCTACTCACTTCAGGCACAATAATCTGTTCATGCAGATATTTCTCTTCTGTTTCCCAATGGTTCCATTGAACTGCACACTGAATAAATACAGCTCTTTGCCCTAAAGACAATCCTCATCTGATCACTCATTCTTTTTTGTTTTGAGACTTTGAGCGTGTGACATATTTCTGTTCTTCAGTTTTCCCTTTAACACAGAAAACCAGCTGTTCACAGCAGCTGGAGGCCATGTTACACCCCCTCACTGCGGTGGGCGAGTCAAATAAGAATTGAAGGATTTTCTTTGGACAAATGCTCAGAGATGTGGAAGAGACTGAGGAGAGAGACCGTGCCACAGGAGAGGGAGTCGGGGGAGAGAAAACGATGGAATAAGAGAGGTTGAAGTGGCTGAAAGCAGAGGAGATGAATAGAAAGAGAGAGTGGGAGGGCATGGAGTTGGGGTGGGGGGATGGGGGGGTCTAATCTTCAGTGTGAGTCATCCGTAGTGAAAACACTGAGTTTCCACAAGGGCAGCTCTCGGTGAACACCACGTGGAAAGGCCAGGGCTGTCATTCAAACGCCGTAATCCTGCACACCTGCACAGATCTCTGGGTATGAAGGGGAGAGGGTGTATATGTGTTTGTGTATGTGTGTGACAAATAAATGAGAATGAACGTGTGCATACACTATGTTTACCTGTGCATACCTTGGAATGCAAGGGTGATAATGAGAGGTCCAGTCGCTGTCACTGCTTTGTTACTATGGTTACCATGATTTGATGGTACACTCTCACGTCCTGTTTCATTTGGTTGTGTATTTTTCAGTGTGATGTTGAATTGGTTTGACATTCCACTGTCAGTGTGGGGTTAGAAGGATGCAAGTTAAAAAAAAATACTGGAAAACATCTGCTCAGTCTGCTGAATGATCCCTGAAGAAGACGCTGTCTGAATCCAGATTTAACTCTGCCCTCCCAAACTGTATTTTTATTTATTCTGATATTGATTGAAATGCTCGTTTTTTTGTGTGTGAGTGACTTTTCAAGGACACAAAGAACTGAGACTGAATGAAAGGGTATCTAGGAAAATCTTTCTCACTCAACTCATTGCCATGGATACTGCAACAAAATGCACTAGAACAAAAAAATGAATGTAATAACTTATTAGACATTATATCAATGACGATAGTAATACTGTTTTTCTTTGTTTTGCTGTTTTTTGCTTCTTTGTAGGGGTTTTGTTCCCTCTTTCTCTTCTTATTCTACTTTAAAAAGATTTAAAAAGTGGGTGTTATGTGACTATAGTATTAAGCAATCTATCTGTAGTGAATGTATTTATGTGCTAAAATACCCAGTTGCAGAACTGTAACATTTTTTATTTTAGTGTTAGATATATGATATGAAAAATGATGATGCTGCACAAAGGGAGAACAGATCTACAGAAATGTGTCCAAAGGCAGAGACATTTCTTTAAACTACTGCAAAAGAGTGGAGGGGATGTCTTCTGGAGGAGTGTCAGAGAGCTGCAAAGAGTTTTTATTCTGGTGAAGGGCAGCCTGTTCCAGCGCTCTCATTAGAAACTTTTTTGATCCTAAAGCAGAACCAGGACTCTGTGTGTCCTGGATAATTAAAAATCCACTGACATTTCAGTACTGACAGTGCCAGCTGCTGGTGTGCAGGCAGCTGCAGCCTGTTCTGCTGCTATTCTTTAATGTGCATGACCATGGAGATGAATTACACTGTTCAGTCGCAGGATTTATAAAGAGATGATGATTATGATGACATTGATTATTTTTCTATAACACTACCGCTGTCAGTCTTCTATTTCAGACTTTTTGTCAGGTGTCATGTCTCCTCAGTGCAGGGGTTTCTAAATGACAGCAACATTGAACATCAGAGTCGCCTGTAATGAGAGCGTGGGCCGAAGCCTTGGAGCGACTACATTTGACACCCGCAACGGTGAGGGTTCCCTGAGTCCAAGGACTGCGAGTGCATGTGACTTCTTTGAAAGAGAGAAATAGCAGAAAAGACATTACAAGGAGGAGTCCAAGAACACGTGCGTGAATTCAAATGTACTCAAAATCCACTTTTATCTCGGTGAAGGTTTTTAAGACAAAGTTAAACTCAAGGTGAGAAATATAATGTGTGTGTTGGCATTGGAGCCAATGGCAGATAACTGCATTGACAGTCATAGAGTAACTTTAAGTTAGTTGAGTCTATCAGACAAATAGTTTTTATTTAATATACAAAACATTACATTCACTTCAGGAAGGTGGACTGGTAGCTGGAGAGGGGCCTCCTGGGCACTGCTTGAGCAAGGCACCGAACCCCCACTCCACCATGTTGCATGTCTATGAGCCCTTTGTGTGTGTGGGATTGTGTTTCAGGGTTAACAACTGCATGTATAAAAATGAGTGTAAAAAGAATTTCCCCTTGAGGGATCAATAAAGTATCTCTTCTATCTCTTCTATTCTAATGGTTTGATTTTCGATTTTCTGCTTCATGCTCCAAATACAAATTTGCATGATATCATGAAGTGTGATATGACATACAACATTGTGTATTCCTTGCAACAACAATTTTCACCTCTAGGGGGTCACGGGTTGAAGTCACACACACACAACCTGGTTTGTAAAGTTAATATTTGTAAAGGTCATAGGAAGCAATCTCGAATGTATAATATTGATCAATAATAGCATTGCAAGAGACCCAAGGACGCTTTACATGCGAATAGGGACAATGTGTTTTAAGACACTGGCTCTGTGTCACACTGTGGAGACGTTTGTGAACTTCTCACACGTTGTCATTGTAAAAGACCTCTGGCTCCCTCTTGTGATCGAACAGAGTAAGTACAACTCAAAAAGAAAACGCTGCTCGTGCTCCTCCGCCAAGTTGAGTTACACGTCAGTGGTGAACCTGTACTGGTGCGTGGACGTGTGGACGTGTGCAGTGCGCGTCAGGCGGTTCCCGGATGCTCCAAACAGAAACATGGAGCGGGTGGTGGTGGAGGTGCCGATCGACAACGGTGAGATACATTATTACCACCTCCACGCTGCTCAGCCACTTTTTATTAACATCTGCTGACAGACATGTGGCGCTTCAGTCCATCCGAGCACTGGACGCCTCCTCCTCCTCCTCCTGCTCCTGCTCCTCTGACGCATGTGGTTTAGGGACGAGCTACAGCCCGTGTGGGGCGATCACAGGGTTATTCGTCTAGTTTGTGTGTTTGAATACGTGTAGCTCCATGCACTTGTTCACAGAGAGAGAGAGGGTGAAGAGAGAGAGAGAGAGGGGGGTTAGAGAGAGAGCTACTGTCATGTGTCAAACAGCAGTTCTGCAGCTGAGCTCACACACTGCTGACCCCACTCACAACTCTGCACCAAAACACAGGCCAAATGTATCCAACATACACACAGTCAGAATAATCCACTGTCACACAATATGGTTGTTTAATATTTTGAAAAGTTAACTATTGTTGTTACTGTTTTGTTTTTTCCTTAAAATCCCTGTGAATTTATGTGAGTTTGTAACACGGGTTAGGTTGTACTTGTTTTTTTCTTATTTCAGGAAGAGAAATTATTTGTGTCCGATGATAACACTGGATCCCTACTTCCCGCCCCTGATATACCCAGTTTTTATCCATGTATAGGCCTACAAATAATTATATTGTATTCAAAGAATCAATAATAAGAATAATTATAGACACGTAATGGAATTTATTTAATTTCAGAGGTCAGGGCAATCCAGGTTTTTTATTGATTATAAATTCATTCATTATTAAAAGGTTTATGTCCTTGGTGCATCTATTGTATTGTTTTCTAAGCGTTCTTATTCTGTTCTGTTACCAACTTTAGGTTTTTCCCTCGCTGGCCCTTCCACAACCCCGCGAAAGCGTCAGGTGCGTTTCTCAGCTCGGCATGACATCATCCTTCTGCGGGAGGTCATCGCCCAGAACCCCTTTGCCTCCAAAGAACCAGGTTTGTCTTTTGGACAATATCCATCTGTCCACGTGGACAAAATGTCATTACATTTAAATAATTAAGAGCCTTTGCTATTTACGTACAATGTCCCCTACGTTTACTGTGCAGATTATAGAAACTGCCTTTTTTAAAAGACTCTACAAATCACACAGTTGGGAAGATCATCACATTTATAAGAGACAGAGAGTCGAATGGAAAACACAGACAGGTCTGTTTAACTTCTTGGATGGGCAACATATGCTGTATAATCAGATCTGATGAAGTCGTTCATCTTCTTCAGGCAGAATCTGGGCCCGTGTGGGGGAAATTATCACCGGTGTCCTTCAAGATGAAAACTTTGAGGTGGACGCCAGGAGGTGTCGGGAGAGGACCATGCTGCTGCTAGACTACTACAAGAAGCAGGATTTCCCCAGCCTGCGCAGGTTGATACAGGCCACAGGAGCCTTATTTCATCCATCTCTTTATAATAAAAAAGAAAGTCAAGGTTAACATGTGTGTCTATTTGTGTGTGTGTGTATTCGGTTCATTTAGGTTCGGAACAGAGAGGCTGTATGCCCAAAAGGAAGATCTGCTCCATGAGGTTTTGGAGCTGGAGGCTGAGAAGGGGCTGCTCACCAGTGGCCATGAAACAAAGTACCAGGTGAGTGTCAGTGTTGTTGTGCCATCAGAGAGGAGAATCTAAACATATGTGACAGCTCTAGCACAAGAACTTTATTTTTTACAGAGGGTGCTCTTGAGCTGTTCTACAGGAGCAGAGCAACTGCATGTTAGAGCTTCCATTATACGGCTTCATGCTGCTATTATTCTCGTCCAAACATTAAATCAAAATATATGACTCACATACATAGTATTGTTATTTTGTTTTCAAAGACATGAATTTTAAAATCACATGTATAGTCCAGATGTTTCCAACCTTTTGAGCTTGTAAGGTTTAAAATGAGCAAGTGGCTATTGTCTGAGTTTTAAGCAGCTCTGTTGTGGTTCTTTCTTTCAAAATCTCTCAGAATGTTTCATCAAAATATTTGTTAGAGTCCATATTTTCACAAGAAGAAAATAATTTTAAGAGAAAAGACACAAAAGACATGATATGATAATAATTTATGTACAGTATGATATTTCTCCGCTCCTCACATTCTGTTTTGATCTAGAAAGATGGTGTATCTATTCTAATGCTTACATGGACTGAGTCATTTCATAGAAATTGAAAAGCATATGTTTTTTTCATGATCTGTGCAAAAACCTAACCACTTCTCTTCCTCTTCCTTTTTTCATCTAAGTTACAGTGACAAGTAAACTGAGATTTAAAATGTATCTTCTGCTTATCCAACCCTCTTGTTGTCACGACTCTTCTTATTTATATTACTACACAAATGTCTGCTGTTCCTATAACAGTTGATTTTCATTATCCTCACTTCATTATCATAGCAGTGCTCCTGTCCTTATCTCTCCCAGGATGATGAGCTGAGGAAGCGAGTCATCGAAGAATTAATTCTCCCCGAGCAGGACAAACCCAACATCCATATCACACAGTCACCAGCTGCAGGTAAGAGCAGAGTCACTAGAATCACTAGAGATGAAAAGACTGTCTCTCGATACCAGTTAAAAGAAGAATGTATTCATTATCGCCTCCAGTGTCATTCCCTCTCAATCATAGACTGTATATAGAGATGGATGATGTGTGTCCACTTCTTTCCACTGTCAAGAAATTAAGCCAGAATATTCAGGATATGAACTTTGTCATCTTGCGCTTTTGGAGCCAGAGTCTGCGAAGTGATGTAGTGATTCACACTGAATTTTAATAGGAATTCACATCCTATCATCTTTATGTGGAAACTGCAATTGAAGAAGTGGGTGATTTCCACTCATCAGATGATATGAATGTGTCAATCAGCTGATAAACAGATTGAAATGAGTAAGTGTCCTGTCACCTCTGAACCAGATAATGATCGAGAAGAAATCCCGGATATGTCAGCGGCACCCACAGCCAAGCAGCCGTGCCAGTGCTGCTGCCAGACCTACTCTGAGATCCTCAGCTTCCTGGAGAAACGCTCAGAGGCAGAGCAACGCCTGCGAGAGGAGGAGCTTGCCCTTCGTCGGGAGGAACTAGAGATTCAGAGGAGTACTTTCTTTTATAAGACTGTTTCGTGTGATTATAGTTAAAGTAGAGCACATACCTCTGCCAAGGCCAAACAGTCCCCTTGAATTCAATCAAGATCCAGCAAATTTCACACACTCACATTCTTCATGTGCCCGATCTTAGTTATCCATGAATTATTCAATGAAAGTGGTGAAAATGTAGGAAATGTCCAATCTTGCAATGTTAAAGAAAGTGAGTAAGAATTCCCGGATTGCCGGATGTGTAATGTTTTTTTATACCACATTGTCGCAACAAGTTTCGTGGAAATCTGTTCAGTTGTTTTTGTGTAATTTCAATAACAAAGATACAAGCCAACCAACCAACAAACGGACAGGATTGAAAAGACAAATTGTGAATTTTAATTTGTTTTAGAGTCACATTACAAAAATACTATGGAGGATGCTTGTGATCTTTAATTTTTCAATGTTAGTTGTTTCAGATTAAGCCTTTGATCCTTAGTAAAAGGGTCAAAAACCTTGTTTATTTTCATCCTGAAAAAAATTTGAATCAAAGTTATCCTGATAAAGATTTTGAATTTCCTTTTCAATTTGGAGACATCTGGAGTTAAAGAAAAGAAAGTAGGAACCATTCCATTACAAGCATGAGCTGATCACATGTAGTCAGGTAATTAGTTAAAATACTTGTTAACGATAACATTAATAATAACTTTAATTTATATAGCCTTTAAAGCGACCTAAGGAAGCTTTACATGTGTCGCGAGAGACAAAATGAAAATAATCCACACAAATCCGACTGAAAACTGATCTCAAACTGAGGGTGCAGGGAGGAATTGTGCTGACATCATCCTCAACGGGGAATTCCAAATGTAATTTCCCTTTTTTAATCCTTAGGTAAGATCGCTCTGGAGAGGGAACGTCTGGGAGCCGAGAGAAAAGAGAGGGAACGGAGATTTGAGCTGGAGAGCCAAGAGAGGCAGGTCATCCTGGACCTGTTAAAAGAGAAGGTGCTGAAACGCTGACAGGGAGAGCGAACCTGCATCACCTGCTCTTTTAGTGCCATCTTTGAAAAATGAAAGTCATCATGAAGTAAAGGGAAGTTAACAATGTTGACTGCAATAAGGAAGCAAGGAGTGAAAAAAGTGATCATAGAGACAAAAGTGCATTGAGATATCAAATGAAGGACAGTGATGTGATGTGCCATCACCTTTGTTGGTCTTTACAGTCAAGCAAGAAAGTAAAGTGAGTGTGTGGGTTTGTGAAGGTACATGTTGTATGTGTGTATGGTTCAGGCATCAATATTTCAGCTGCACAGAAGCTGATGCATATACAGTAGATCCCAATAGAAACTCCCAGTTTTACTCCTCGGGACACAGTGTGCATGAGAAATCGAATGCAGAAAAGGTTGTTGTCTTGGCTGTGATGAACACTGCACTGGAGGATTACCACATACCAGGATGGCCGCTTGCAGTAAAAGTGGATTAGCAGATTTTCCTGTGTGACCAACAGCAATGTGTTTTCCTGAGTCCCATTGACAGTGTGAGGAACATCATTATTTGTGGTGACATGATGGAAAAAATGAAAAAATACCTTAGTAAAGATGTATAATTAAACAATTAACATGTAGCTCAAGCTTCTGCAAACCCTGTAACATTTACAGATGACTGTGAGCCACAAAGTAAACTTTATTTTACTGACTGTGAATACACTTGGATTAATATGCACTTTTGTACTGCTAAAGCTCACACTAAAATGAGCCGGGACATGTGTGCCCATATTATATAGATATACAGACACTGTATACTATTTTTACTGAAGGTAGATTTATAGCTATAATGTCACATGGTGTGTATATTTATTTTGTTATAAGATTTAATGTCACCATCTTGTTAATTTGCCAGATATAAATACAGTTAACTGGCATTGGCTAATGTAGGGCCTATTAGGTAAACATGTTCTCAGTGATGGGAGCACTTTTATTTACGTGTTCCACTGATCCACATGTTGTTTATTGTGCTTATGAGTTCTTAAAAATATATGGTTTTAATCACACGACATTCTCTGCTGTGATCTTCAGTATATTATTCTATTTGAAGAAGCTATAAAATCTATAACAAAATTTAAAGAATGTTTTTAAAACTTGTTGACCTAATAAAGCCAGTAGCTCTATAAAACGTTGACTATTTTATTACAGATTATGATTTTAAAAACTGTAAAGGTACACAACTGAAGACATGTCCCTAACATCTGCTGTTGATCACTAACATCTGATAACATCAACTAGTGGTAGGCATTAATTAGTGCAGTGGAACATACAAGGGATACGGTATTCTTCATCTTATCCTATGTTCTAAAATAGGACAGTTTTCAGTTTAAAAAGGCATAGAGGTAAAGAAGTATGATTAACTGAGTGGGTCCCACAGCTTTCATGCTACTGCCATACAGGCCAGTAGTCAGATTTACCTTTAGCCTCAGCGTACCCTCGAGTTCGGACTGTATTATTGATTACAAGGTCAAAATACTTGATACTGCTAAGGTGCACAACTGAAGTTATGTCTAGTGCAGTATAATTTATAAATTTGCATATATGGCTTCCGGCTTGAAGCTTAAGATCGTGTCTTAATTTGAGATGGCAGTGTTGGAAAGTGAATTGCCACGTTTATTCGGCCATTGCTGTTTAAGATTACGTCAAATGACTCCCACACTCTGATCGGCAATGACAATTTTATGGGACCCCCCCTTAAATTCAAAAAGAATCCTTTGATGACTGTAATGATGTATGCCCCACCACCCTGCCCCCAAAGTTCCTTGAAACGCCCCTGACTGAGGCAGAAAACCCCCCAACAAAAGTCGCCACGTTTTTTTGGCCATTGCGCTTTAAGATTACGTCATACAACTCCCGAGCACCGATTGGCCAGAAGCTATCTCTCACGCCCCTCCTGCTTTGACGTCCTCTCTGATTGGCTGCTCTCCACGTCACTCTCTCTTCCCCAATGAACGCTCGGCTGTGGCGTGTCTTCTCCTCGCGTCGCTGAAGTTTTGCAGCGGCCACAGTTTGAATGTTCGCAGCGGACTCAACTTCCAGCGACTGAAACAACGCGGCGGTGCTAAAAACTGAGTTCCCCGGAGCTGGAGCTCACCTCGGGGGCTTGTGTCGGCGCTGGTGGCCGGTGTGAGGGTGCTCGCTGACCCGCTAACAACCGGAGTGTTCTCCCCACGTTTACAGGCGGAGCAGCGTGAGCTTCTATTGTCGGGGTTTGAGTTCGTATTCAGCTTCGTGTTTACGCAGCTTCAGCGGTGGTTTTCTTACGTTAGCATGCGTGTGCGCGGCGGGAGGCGAATCCACCAAACACGTAGATTCTAGTGGGAAAGAGTTTTCCTTCCTGTCGGGTGGTAACAGGCCATTTTTAATGACGGTTTAGTGGAGTCGCTCCCAAACACACACACGTATTGAGTTAGAACAACATGCCCATTAGGCGATTTGGGGGTCACAGGTCTCTTGTCTCTCAAACTCCTAAACTGTCGTATGGTTTCGCCAAGATGAACGTGTCAAGAAGTGGATACCGTGTTTTCTCTGCCAACTCCAGCCCCGCCTGCACAGAGCTGGCCAAGAAGATCACAGAGTGAGTGTGGATTTAAAGCAGCAACCATGTGATTCAGATCTAATGACAACTGCTCTGTCTTTGTAGAGACTATACCTGACTGCACACCTGGACTCACAGTGTTGTTTAAAAAGGTGAGTTCACCCAAAAAATGAAAATGCACTCATCATATACTCACCACTATGTGGATGGACGGATGGGTGAAGTGTTGGAGTCCACAAAACACTTCTTGAGTATCAGGGGTAAACAGTGTTGCAGCCGAATCCAGTACAATTGAAGTAAATGGTGACCGCATAAAATGGCTTCATACTCCTCATGAGGTGTCATCCAGGTGTCTGTAAGCCCCAACATTGAAATTCGACTCGACACGGCATCATTTACATCGTGCTCTTAGCCTAAATGTCCTCTGATACTCCTCTGGAGCCATGGGTTTGGCTGCAACGCTGTTTAACCCTGACACTCCAAAAGTGTTTTGTGGACTCCAACACTTCACCCACCCCTCCATCCACATAGTGGTGAGTAGGTAAGTGAATTTTCCTTTTTGGATGAACTATCTCTTTAATGCTGTGCAGTCAGGCTATTCAAACACGCAAGCCATCCTTACTAGGACTTTGTATGTACCTCCTTTTAATAGTGGACAGCTTATAAACAGAGCCTTATCCCTAACCTCAGCCATGAACAACTTATACCTTACCCTAACCTCAGCCATGAACAACTTATGCCTTACCCTAAACTAAACCACAATTCACATCTTACCACTCACAAGACTTCAGAAATGTGATCCCCATGAGATCTACTGGTCTTGATAAGTTCAGCGTTTATGCTGGAAAAGATCCTAAACAAAGTTGAATAAAACAACTACGCACGCAGGAGTTCGTGCATCTATTCTATTTAGGACTTTGCATTGACTTCCATTCAAACCAAAACCTTATCCCTAACCTTGACCTTAACCATGCCGTAAACTAATACTTTAACCTAAACTTAAAACATGCCTTCACCTTTAAATTGAATGGTTTACATTGTGGGTATTTGCCTAATGGCAAGGTCAGTGTTTCTACTGGAAAAGGTCCTAAAGGGGTAACCAGGATGAGCAGACATACACAGTACATGGTGTGGAAGTCACAGGGTGACTTGAGTCATGACACTGACACCTTCAACTTTTCCATGCGACAATGGTGTAATGGCACAAAAACATAATCCAACAGAGAACAATCCACATCATCAGTGTGGACGAAGAAGATTCAAACTCATGAAACATGTGCAGGTTCTAATGTCAAAGGACAATTCTGTCCACCATCAAAACATCACTTCTTCAGAACTGTTTTCTAAGCAAAGTGTCTTTGAGCATTGTTAAAAGTGCTATATACATAAAGTGTATGATTATTGACTAAAATTAAACTTTCATTTCAAAAATGCTACTTTTTAAATTGCTCTTCAACAGGTTTAACATTATCAGGCTGTTTAAAGGACAGAATATGTTTCAGCGATGCAAGAAAAACGTTTGTTTAAATGTAGTGTTTGACTACATGGACACTTCACTTTTTCTTTTGCAGCTTGCAGCTACAACTAAGATTCTCACAAACAAGACCTGCCGTCATTACCTCATGGATGTCTGTATAAACTGGTGTGTGTTGTTTTGGGCTGTCCTAAATACCTACTGTGTTGCTCATGCAGTCTCTTACATTGCTCTTGGAGGAGTGGCGCATCAAAACATTTACAACTAATTAACATACTTTCTTTCTAAATTTAACTTTTGAGGATAGTCTATTGTTTGTATTGATTCATAAATCATAGCTTTAAACCAACCTAGAGTTCCTCCCATTGGTAAATGGCTGCGGATTGTCACTTTTTTGGAGCTACTATATTGTTTGAGGTGCTATTTTCAGTGGCTTTCACAACCTGTTAATAATTTGAATTTATTCAGTTTGAAACTTCAGTTAAAGAGAGAATTGACTGAACCACATGTTGAGGCATTGTAAGGTTCACTTGCTTTAAATCAAAGGATCATCATTGCCCTTAAAAGTGTCGCTGCAGATAACCAACAGACTGCTCAGCGTTATACAGCGAGGATGAAAGATTAGTTTTATTTGATTATGACAATCCCCCCCTATTTTTCCTTCCGGGTGTTTCTGAGGGGGATTCGAAGGAGCTGCCAGTAAGAATCATTATGATGAGAGGAGCCTACTGCACAGGCACCGCTCTGTCTATGAAATACACAGATACCATACAATGGGCGTTACTTTGGTGGTGGTTGTTATTGTTTGGATTGGCAGTAATTCACGTGGTGTACAGATGGGTGTTGGTTCAGTTTGGTTAAAAACGAGTTTCACCCAGTGATCTGAATGGCATGAAAACAAAAAGAATAATTGATCTGTTTCTGGAAACTGATCCAGATCTCTGCTAACACCAATATCTCTTCATCTCATTGTTGGCCCACTGGAATCAGGAAACGGCCATGTGTGTGTTTTTTCTCCCCCCCCAACCTACAGAACTGTCAATTGGCCAAGCACAAGTTGCATTGCCCATCCAGTTAAAAGGAGCTTAGCATTCTCAGTTTTCATTGTTTGGCAAAATTGCAAAACTTCACAAAGGAGATTATGTTGTTGCTCTGGAGCAGAGTGGAGTTTTCTTTGGAGCAAAGGTTGACATGAGCACACAGAAAATGCAACTGAAAACTGGGCTGAGTATTTACTCATTATATTGCACATGTGGTAATTGGGCTGTGTGTAAATACAGCTGTGACTGCAGTCAATCATATTTTTACAACACTGTTATTCTTCGCTAAATGTGAATAGAAGTTTATAAGGCTGCCAGCTGATTCACCTCTCTAACATTCAATCAGATTTTCCTTGTTAGATAAATGTAATTTAGAGTAGAAAAGAGAAGACGGTTAACGCTTTATGTACAGGTCAGGTCTTGTATTTCTTCCACAGTCATAATAGCTTATGGCACAATGTCAAATATTGGAACAAGGCTCGGGTTGAGTGCAGTAAACACAAGGGTGAGGCTCCAGTGGCAGAGAAGCCTGTGTGACCCAGTGGGATCACTGCAGACTGAACTCACTGGTGGGGCCTCCCTGTGTCACCAGTCTTCGCTCATCTGCGGTGCTGGTTAAAGAGCCGCCAAGTTCATTTTTTAGAACCAGCTTTGTTGATTAACTGGTTTTCATAAACAACAGCATAATTTTCTGCCCAAAGCTCGTGGGTATTTATGAGGCCTGGGCTTGTTCAAAAGTTTTATATGACGCATCACAGTAAATTAATGTCAGGTTCGCTTGTGTTTGTGCCAAGTGCATTTTGATTTGATTTCCTTCTTTGTATTTGGTAACTGATTTATAATCGTACAATCACTTCACTGAACTTAACAAAGCATAACATTTGTAGGCTTCTCTTAAGGCTGCTGTGTTTTAGTTTTTTTTCTAATGCAAAGTGGCTTCTGATAATAACTTACCTTGCCAGTCACTTATAGGAGTGTCTCCTGTTGTCAGCATCAAAGTTATCAAAGTTCAAACTGAGTCTGAGACA